GCTGGGATTACAGGCACGCACCACCGTGCCCAGTCTCAGTTGCCCTTGCAGCACATCCAGGGGCAGGGCCAGCATGACAGTAAATCATTGTTTATTTCAAATTTTGAATAAATCTGTGCATGCTGGTAGGAAAATCTTCCAGTCCTTTCTTGAGAAATTCATCATAAGTACTTTGAACTTTGATATTTTTCTATATTTATTGAGATGATAATGTAATTTTTTAAATGGCCCATTTTTCATTTTGGATATGAAATAAGCTAGTAAGTTTTATGAATTAAACTACATTTAAATTATAAGAATAATATTTTCCCTTTTTTAAATACTAATGAATTTTATTTGTAAACCTTTTTAGGTTCTCAGCATGGTTAAGTAGAAGGTAGCAAGAGGCCTCATATATTCCCTTTGCATAATTACATGTTAATTTTCCGTTGATTCTGTCCTCTGGAGGACCCTAACTGATACACTAGAACAACTGCAACTCTCTGCATCACATTCAAACATTGAATAGGTGAACAACATATAGAGTGCCACCAACTTTTGTCGTCCAATGGTCCATTTGTTCCTGTGGATGGATCTGCATGGGCACATCTTCACCAGCTGTCTGCAGGTCACCTTGAGCTTCCCTCTGGGTCATGTTCTTTCTAGGGTTTGGATATAATGGCATCTGCACCAATGTAAAGTTATACAGAAGGTTTTGCTGTGAGGGCATTTCAAGTAGGAGACCTGGAAAGTTACAACCTGGCCCCATTCTCTCCCCATTTCTCTAATCCCTAAGGGACTTTTCTTTGCATTTACTTGGGAAAGATTAGATTTTCTCTTCAGTAAGCACCCACTGTGAAGTTCAAGGTAGGTGAGGCTGACGTTATTGCGATCTGCAGTCACCATGGTAGGATTTCCACTAATTTCCTCCTCTCTGTACTTCTCCATTTGCATACCTGTATGATATTTTTTGCACTTTCATATTCGTGTCATTGTGAATTTTTCACAATTCTTAATATTGTAGAATAATCAGTTCCTATCCTGTTTTTGTTTCATCCCCGGAGTAGGTTTTGGCCTTGGAAGCCACATCTTACATTAGTGCTCTTGTTGGTGGCAACAGAGATTTAAACCTTGGTTTGTTTCACTCTCAAACCCATGCTCTGATGTAATAAATAGAGGACTCAGTGCACTAGGACAACTAGAATTCCAGATGCTAACTTGAAATAAGAAACAAGTATGCAATTGACATTTCCTGGAGAAATTCAAGGGCATGTATTTTTTTCTCTGACCCAAATATAATAAAACTTCATTGCATAAAATTTTGAAGTTATTGTGTACTATTCATAACTACTCTTTATATGATTATATATTTTCCAACTTACTATATACATAATTTGTATAAACTTTTGTTTTATAAATTTTCCAAGCATAAGGAAAGGCAATTTACACTTTTTTCTCTTATAGAAAAAGAGAATAAATGAAGAATAATCCGAGGGCAGTTCAAAGAGAATCTGACTTCAACCTGCAGTCCAGAGCAGTATCCCACTGAGCTTTTGGCAAGCCAGATGACCAGCTCCTTAGAAAAGTCCTGCTTCATGCCAGGGATTGAAAAAGTCATTCAGGATCTACATCCCACATCCTTTCAAAATAAATATTAAAGAACCCAAAGTTTGGTTATTGCTAGGACCTGGTTCCAGAGTTCTTAGATGATGTAGATTTCTATTTTATATTCTATTGCATTGTGTCTTGAGGTAGTCTTCTCTATGAAGAATGGGCTTCTTAGTTGTCACTGTTAGTTGCACTACATCGAATTGACTGGATTCAGAAATGCTTAGCAAGTTAGTAAACCACAGATCTGGGTGGGTCTGTGGGTGATTGACATGTAAGTCAACAAACTGAGTGCAGAAGCCTACAAAGTAATTGGTTTGAAGTCTGGATGGAATATAAAAGGGGAAGAAGGAAGTGCACCCTTTCAAAGAGATCTAGTCTTCTAGAGTGGGTGCATCCTGTGATGCTGTTGCTTTTGGACATGGATCTCCAGTGCTTCAGTTCCTCTGGCATTCCAATGC